AACTACTCTCTTTCTTCTCTCTCTCTCTCTCTCTCTCTCTCTCTCTCTCTCTCTCTCTTTATTTGAAATTTTATATTCTTCATCCAAAGGTGGTAAAAAAAATATTGTCCCGGAATTAAGCACATTTCATGAAACAATTTACGGGCGTTTATCCTTTTTGAATGTTACGATTAAAGTTTAATTATTAGATATAGGTTATTTAATCAAGGTAACGGAAATGGAAGAAAAAGGTATAATTTCTTGATATTCGCTATAGGGTGATGAAATATACAACATCGGTGGAACAATTCAAACTAATTTCATTCCGATAATTAATTATCGTCCAAATTATTTACGCGTTCCGTTTACCATCTCACGTTATTACGAAATAGAAGGATTCGAGGTAAAATATTTATTTTCTTTCTCTTTTTCGTCTCTGATCCATTTATTGGCCATATAATTTATTACTTAACCTGTCATTGGAGATTTGTAATTAAGTTTAATCAAGTACAACTGATTAATTGATCTTTCTATACGAAACAATTTTTCATATAGAAAAATGTTTGAATTGCTTAATGTTTAAGTTTGAAAGAAGATTTATAATTAAGATTTACCCAAGATTTACCCGGGTAATCGATTTTTTATTTAAACAATTATTCACACAATGAAAATGAATTTGAATTGTCCCGTTTGTTATTAAACCGAAGTAGCCATATTTAAACCGATTGAACACGAGTAAAAGTACAAAAGGATTCAAATTCAATTTCATTCCTAAAGTTTTGCCACGCGTAACCGTTTTCTTTATCCTACATTGAATTTTCAGGGTATTGAAAAACGAGGAATATAATGCTGCACGATCACGCTATTCGAGTTTACCTTTAAGAAAATTTATTAAAAGTTATTTTAATAGAATTTTAAGAATCATTGATATCTATCCACGCGACAATAACGTCAAGTGTTTCGGATGACTCATTGTTAGCACATTCTCAACAATTCATGGACGGCTGAGGAGGAGGATATGCTTCCGAGTATCGCAATTAATCAAATCCATGATAAAATCAAGTGGGTATAAGCTTTCGTTTGCACATTGGCTCCATTAATTTTCTTCATCTCGACGTTTCTTTTACGAACGATCCTTTTAAAGGATTTTTCCTTTAAACCATACGATACGATTTCGACGATAAACGATCCTCTTTCTTATTCTTTATTTTTCATCCAACAGGTTGTGCACAGGTTGACACATGTTTAAACATTCATCGGCATTAGCAGGAGCATGCAGGAGCACCTTGTTTTCCTCGACGTCGATTTAACTCCCGCGGTGTTCCTTTTATATTCGGAACGGGCTGAAAAACTACTAAACATTCCAGTCACGTAACACTGGTAATACGATTTGCCGACTTTGAGCTCGCTTCTTAGATCACATTCGGATCGGTGTGTCTTGTTTGCTCGATATTCCGATTTCGTTTTGTGTAACGCAATACTCTCTTTTCGTATTTCCAAACGTCCGGCAAAATAGTTGGAAATTCTCTTCCAACAATTCCTCTACGAGATGCATTAAAAGTTTTCTCTTTTAAATCTGCCTTTTTGAGAGAATTTTTTTTTTTATTATTCCTTTCATTATTTATTTAAAAAATAGAGAGAAAGAGAGAGAGAGAGAGAGAGTTTTAATTTTATTTGTTTTTTTTTTAATAAATACATTTTAATATTATTAAAAATATTTATAAATTAATAATTTTCTTTGAAGAAAGATTTTGTATGAATTTTATAAATTTTATGATTGTATATAATTTTTTAATTCAGGGATAGAAGACATTGGTTTTTCCATCGTACGATTTGTATTAACAGCCTTGATAATTTGATTAAAAATATGTCATTGCACCATTAACGGTGTACTTGTTACTGGAAAATTGATTTCCCTCGTGGACTGGCCGCGTATTCATAAGTAACAAACTAATTTTCTTGTCGGTGAAAATCTACTTCTTCTTGTTTTTAATTCGAACTTTCTCCATTCGAATTATGCGTGTAATATTGTCGAGGAGTTTTACGTCGATTTATATGTACACGCGCAACCGTGGGATCCTTTTACGATCTCAATTTAATTAATCAATTTAATAATTCCGATTACATATTATTACATCACAGTTTAAAGACGATGAAATATTTACTATGGTAAAAAAAATATATTTCGATAAAAATTTATATTTTATTTTATTTCGTTATAAATAATAATGTACATTTATATTAAAAATATATATTCTACCTTTTTACAAGAATGATGGGTTCAACGATTGTCATCCTTTTTTCAATGACGACCATGGCAATATTCTGCAACAATGTCTTGGCAGCTCTACCAACTCAATGTAATCCTGGTTTCCTTGATGATCTTCCTCCAAGGATCCGCAAAGTCTGTGTCGCACTTTCCAGGATATACGAGCTTGGTTCAGAAATGGAGAGCTACATTGATGACAAGCAAAATCATATAACAGGTGTTTCTTTTATTTAATTATTTATATAATAATGTTTTGAATTGAATAAAAAAAATATATATTAAAGAAGAAGAAAAAAAGAAGATAACAGAAGAAGGGTATTTAATATGACGATCGTAATAAAAATTATATTTTGTAGGCTTTCACGAGAGCATCCCGTTATTAGACAGCGGAGTGAAAAGACAGGACGTCGATCATGTATTTCTGCGCTTTGGAAGACGTCGTTAGATAATGCGCAAATGATATTTCGCACATGAAAAAATCAAACAGTTCAATTCATCGTTCAAGCTATGAAAAAATGTCTGCAGATCCATTTCGAGATTCTTATTCGATAGATTCATATTGTATCAATTTGTGCTTTTTTCTTTTTATTGTCAGATAATTATTAAATCTATTCGTAATTGATAAGCGTACAAAAGTAATGGGTGTCTAATGAAATCACGACGAGTCACTTGCGTATCATGCGATTTCTGCCTTTATTTAAAAATTATTTAAAAAAGTTCATCTTTTCTCTCTTATAAATAAATTCTATAGTGAAAGCAGTAACAACTTGGACTAATAAAAAATTTATTTTTGCTTTTAGTCAGTTTTATTTTATCATATATTTTAGGGAAATTATTATTAGCATTCATATTTTTAAATTATATCTTCAACATTAAAAAAGTATAATTAGGAAATATTAAAAATAATTAATTCTAAATATTATTTTATAATATATTAATCATTTATTAATATTCAACAGTCAAAGTTATAATAAAGTTACAAATTGAACATTACTTTGTGTCACTGAAAAATAAAAAAATCCTACTTTCTTTTTTCCTTTTTAGGTAAATAAACAAAATAATATTTAATTTATAGATAAATTAAGAAATTTAATTAGATGACAATCTTTTATTTAATTACATCATAACATAAGGAATTATTCGTGATTGTGTTATAATAAAAAAACAAACACATTTTACATTTATCGTGTGATTTAAATTTCGCACAATAAGTGTTAGATTGATAAAAACAAATTGATAAGTACGATAATATAAATAACGATCAAATTTAGAGATGCATGCATAACAATCCAAATGTACAAGATATTTTTTTAAGCCATACATTATTAAGGATTCTAATTTTGTACATTTTATGCAGCTTTGTGTTCTACAATCTTAAAAGGTTAAAAGATTGTAAGACAAATTGTTTCTCTTTATCGAGAACACTTGTACAATTTTTTTTTATTATTCTAATATCTAATTAATTTAGTTTAATCTGTTAAATCTTTAAATGTTTACTGACAAAGTCATTTTTACAAATCAGTATTTATTCTTGCTACCTTCCGAAAAAAATTAACATTTATCCATATTAACATCAATCACTATAATCTTTTTGCAGAATTTAAAATGTTTATTTATATTTTATTATTTTTACATTAAAAAAAATTAAATTCCACTCAGATGCCTGAATTATACAATTTGCCTGCAAAAATTATTTACTTCGTTGGACGAAAGAATTATTTGTAAATTTATGTACAATTCGGAAGGCACCCAATTATCGAAATTACATATTTTTAGATTTCTTTAAAAAATGTTTCTAAAATCGTGCTTAATCGAACATGTGCGTCTTGTAATAGAATTATCGATTTTGTTAATAAAAGCCGCTTGATTAAATGTACGAAATTTCACGAACTTATCTACGTTATTCGTACACTAGAAATTCGAATATTTACAAACCCTATTCTATCACGGGATTACGAGATACGAGTCCGTCCAAGATTAATGAAGTTCATCGATCAAAGAGAAGTCAAATTTTCGACGTTGCTTCTCAGAGTAAGGTTGTAGCTATGGAGGTGCAGAATGTGGAGGTTGGGGTCAGCAATTTGGAACTCCACATTGTTTTTCATCCGCGAAATACGATACAGATACTACATCTCCACCAACATTTATCAAACATTGACCCTAAGATGTAATTTCTTTTAATTTTATATGATTCAAATGAATTTGATAAAACATAAAAAAATTATTATACATACTTGATTTTTATGTGGACTGTGAAGAAGTACACATTTAGTCATAAAAAATGCTACCATTGCATTACCTCCCAAAGCTGTAATATGTGCGCGAACGATTGCTAAAACTTCCATTACGAAACTATGAGTAAATCCACTTAAACCTCCATTCTATATCAAAAAGAAAATTATTAATTTTTATTAATTTACTTTAATTTATATATATATATTCATGTACAAGAATATTAATATTAACTTCTCTAATAGATGTGCTTTCACGAATGAAGAAGAAGTTTAAATTTCCTAAGTATCTTTCTATACGACCACCTGGTAAGTAAGACAAAGGTGTTATATCTACGCCATATCTTCCCTTTAAAGGCACCTATATATAACAAATCATTTTAATTATATGTTCTAAAATAATTCTTCTAATATTAATATATTTACATGTTTGTGTCTACGCGTTGCATGAATTTTGGATCGTAATGGAGAACGAGTCCGAGATTTCAGTGATGGCATACTATGTAAGGTAGTTAAATTTAGATTACTGCTAGATGCATTATCTGATGAAACTTCTGTATGATCCACATCAAGATTAAATATCATATCACTATCATCTAAATATAAAAATGATAAAAAAAATATAAAATGATAATTTTATTATTATATATGATAATCATTATTATATTATTATACTTAAAAATATTTAATTAAAATGTCTAAGATTTCTACCTAATTTTTTAACTTGGTCTTTACTTGCAGAATGACTTATCATTTTTTTTTTAGATTTATTCATTTTTATTGGATCTCCCAATCCAAGAGCCATACCAATTACTGTAAATTGTATTTCATCTGGTTCAGGAAGCGCTAACTTAAATTGCATATCACATAGGGCACAAGGGATCATTCTTCTTAATTTGAAATATACAGACTAAAACCAAAAATCAATCAATTAATTTTTAAGTGAATAAATGATTCTAATAAATAAATAACAATAGAAAGGTTACCTGCAGTAACCTAGCGAAAAATTTAGAAGGCATTGATGCAAATTGTCCAGCAGGAATTTTTGTTCTTGAAATTTGAGTAAACATTTGTAAATTCCTCACAATTTCTAAATCATCTAAGCCAGGAATTGTTTGAGTATTTACTACATGGAAATCCTCTGGAGGTCTGTCATCCATCAATAACGATATTCTATCCATATCTTCAATGTCATCAACTTCTAATACACAAGTATCTCTTGGACCTACACTAAAATCTAAATCCGGTAAATCATCGTCTGATTCATCAGTATCAGAAGTTGTAACTCGTCCATTTTCAATATCCTGAAAAGAAAAATTAATTTATTTATATTATTTAATTTCAAAAATAATTAATAACACTTACTCCAACAGGTTTAAGTCGATAAAACTCTCTGTTTTGTTTGACTGTTTCAACTAAAGTTTTCTGAATTTCAGCTAATTGCTCTTCTTTATGCCAAGAGTTTCCAGACGCAATTTGTGGGATAGAGGGAGTAGGTAATGCAGTTAAAAAAACAGCTGTACCCACGGCCATACCAATGATTAATCGTTCTCCAACAGAAACTTGTAGCTTTAAGCCAAATATCGCATTCATTCCTTTAACTTTTAACTTATTTAAGAGTAAACTGTGTAATTCATATTCTAAAAATGGCAAGCAATCCGATATCTCCTTCGCATTTAATTCTCCTCTAAGATCTTTTTTAGCTTTACATGCAGTAGCTTGAATGATACATCCTCGACCGATCGTTAGAAGATTTTCTGGTAACTCTATAGTAGTAAACATTACATCTGGTACCCTGGCACGTTTACATATGGCGCATTTTGAAACATTTACTCGAAATGGAACGCTTGCTTCATTGTATGGCAAATGACATAGACTACATTTGCTTTGAAATTGAATCTCATGATCTCTACTTTCTGAAATATGCCTTGTTTTGCTGGTTTGTATCAAATTTGGCACAGATGTATCTGTATCACTTTTTTCTACTTTTACAGGTACAGATTTCTGTTGAGCTTTTTCACGTTCCGTTTCCGTGGGATTAGTACCGGATCCTGATTGTCCTTTGCTGATAAAAACATTATCTGATTCTTGATTTGAACTATGAAGATTGATTATTGCTGCAGTGCCATATGCATTTAACACACAAACATCATCGCTACAAAAAGATAAACTTCTTATTCCAAATATATTATAAGATAATGTCATTATAAAATAAATTTAAATTTTAAATTTTAATTTTTACCAAATACTAGTTTCCTCTCTATAACCGATAACTACATTACATGCTAATGCTCTAGCATGCGATCGAACTTCCATTCTGACCTCTTTCCACCAAGCATCGCGACTCTCAGGTTCTTCTAAATTACTGATCCTTTCAAGAAGTTTCACTGATCTTGAACTTACAAGACCACCTGTCTCAAAATACATAATTTACGATTCAATTTATTTGTATAAAAAAATGAATAATGAAGAAACATAAAGTAAAATATTTAATTGAAATGCTTACCGATATGCAAAATAAATCCTGATGGATACTGTTGCATTGTAATAAATGGATATTCTAGCATTTCAAATGCATCTTGATTCATGGTTCGTATTACAGCGGTCGATGTTTTTAATAATCCAGTAACTGATCTATCATTTGCTCCAAATGAATTGCCTATAATATTCTAATTGTTATAAAAAAAGAAACTAATCTAAGAACAAAATGTTCATTTTCTAAAAAAAAGAATGTCTCATAAAGTGATGTAATCAGTAAATAATAGAAAGAAATGAATAAAAAATCTTTCAATGTAGTCATATATAATTAAAAAAAATTATTTTATTATAATTAGAATTATATGAAATCATATGTTATTTTGTTTTATATATATTTTGTTATATGTTGTTTCAGAAATTTCTTCTTTGCTAATTTTAACTCACTTTATGAGTAATTTGAAATTTAATCTATAATAAATTATCTACAAATCAATGGATTTCACAATTAAAGTGAAGTCAATCATAATATTAATAGTAACAATTATATTATATTATATAAATTATAATAAGTTACCTTTTGGAGTAATGCTCAAATCAGAATCACTGGATCTTCGATGCAATGAGGCAGTGGCTTGTGCCTTAGTTGTTGGTAACTGACATACTTTTGAAACCATAGGAGGAACAGCCGGAAGTGGATAAGATGGACTTAGAGATGCTTCATCTTGTTGCCTATGATTGAGGGAAGGAGGGGACACACACGAGTTGCAAGTTATATTAGCAGTGTTAGTAATATTAGTTAATTCTTGATCTAATATTTCTCTTATATTATAAATGCTATGATTCTCATGTACCGCATGATCTACAGATGTAGATGACATTGAATAGTTAGTATCTTTTGGCTTTAGTTGCTTAAGTTCTATAATATTATTATTATTTTTAAATGAATTATTGCTATGAGTATCTAAAATTAACTCTCTTGTAGAAACGTCGCATAGATCGACTGTAGATCTTTTGGTTATGAAACTATCTTTTGAAGAAAATGATTCAGTTG